CAATAATTTCAATATAAATATCATAATAAAATACATCAAAGATATAAGTATTAATAAAATAAAAGTTGAAACTACACAGAAATATGAGAAATGAAAGAAACAATAAAAGAAAGTCGAAATGGAGTAATAAAAAGAATAAAAAAAGCATTTTGTAAGAAGAGTAGTTTGAATGAATTAATTGCAATACAATTAAATGAAAGAAAACATGATGTAAAGAAGGTGTTTGAATAAGTAACTAATGAATTAAATGAATGATATTTAAATGAATTAAAAGAATCTATCAAAAAATGAAATGGAATATTTAATGATAAAAAATTAACAATAACAACATGGAGATGATTAAATATAAAAAGAAATTCATTTCTCCAAATAGTAAAGTTACAAGAAGGAGTAACTATGACTGGAAATATTCATTCTAAAATATTCAACAATGATAATTTAAAATAATTTAAACATTGTCCTTATACCATCACATTTATTAGTCATTTATTGTTATGATGTAATGAAGAAAAATCAAATATCAAAACATGATTATATGTATTTAAACAAATATATAAACATATATTAATTACCCAATTTAATGAATTTTATACAATTGATTTTAGTATTGAAGAAATAAAAATAATCACTTCACAAACTCACAAAACCCAAATTTGAATATATATTAATTGATCTTTTTTCATTACAAAGTAAGTCATAACCAAAATTAAAGTACGCCTTCATTTTTTCATTGTTTTTGTATTTCACAAATATAAGGAAGAAGATTATTATAAAAAATAATCCCTATTCACAATTTCCATATGTGATAATTTTTCTAAATATTTTTATTCAAGTCCAAGGCATTACATAATATTAATGAATTATAATTGACAGTACTATTTCCATATTTATATGTTATTTGACCATTTTTAAATATTTAATCAGTATATTTCCCATATTCGGCAGTTTCAAATATACTAGAATAATTCAATATTTAGGTATTTTTTTGGTAAGGAACGAATTGAAGTTGACGTTTTGTTATATAATTTTACTCCAATTGGGGTTAAATTGTTTTAAAATTTCTTCTAGACTATCAGTATTATATGGCTAGATGGTTTGTCTTTATTAATGAGTAATTCAGTCTTCTCCCAATAGTTTTTATGAGGTAACAAACGGTAAATTGACTCAACTAAAATAAATTTAAATTCCATTGTGAATATTTGTACAAGAAGACAATACTTTCCCATATGCTAAATTCATCCAAAGCCACAAACATTTTTCTGGGAACAGATATTGGAATTTAATTTCTCAGATAAGATAGTAGGAATAATACAAGACATAAGAAGGATAGGTGTTGTGGATTGGTGTTGTGCAAACAAAATGATAAAAATAATCCAAAAAAAAAACCGAAAAGAAATATAAATGAAGATTAAGAGATGAAGAGTGTGTTTGAAAAATTTAACCAAACGATTTATTACTATATATAAATAAATAAACAAAATAGTGGTTGGTTATAAAAGTCTATTAAAATTCTAAAACCATTTCATCTTCAAGAACAATAATTTCACGGTCTAAATCTTTTAATTGTTCTATTACTTTATAGTATGAATAACTTTTAATATGAGTAGCGTAGACTTTAATACCTGGTAATAAATGTTTAATACCTTCTTGTAACATTTTTGGAGTCATATGATTTGAAATTAAAGCACGTTCTTCAAGTTCATTCGATAAAGAAACTTCACAAATCACTCCCTTTAATTTAGGCTCTTCACTAATTCTTTTCCAAAAAGGTTCATAATATGTTGTATCACCAGTAAATGCAAATGCACTGGTTTTATTAGAAATAATATATCCTAAAGTCAATACACTATGAAGACATTTTACTGCAGTAATAGTAATTCCATTACTCAAAACACATTGCTCTCCATCTTCTATACTTTGAAATGTCATAAACCCCTTTTCTATTAAATTCATCCATATTCCTTTCTTAAAAATACTATCATTTAATTGTTCTAACACAATATGACTACAATGAAGAGTTGGTTTACATACTTGAATTAATTGGTCATTGTAAAATGATTCAACTAGCAATGAAATACCACATGTATGATCAATATGGGCATGTGTTAAAACAACATCTTTAATCATTGGAATTTCTTTTTCTTTTAATCTAATTATTCCTGTTCCGCCATCAATTAACGCTACTTTAGTTTCTTCATTTAAGTCACCACAAAAACACATCAAACAAGTGGATTGATTTTTAAATCCAATATTTCCACCACAGCCTAAAATTCTGACTTTGAGACCCATTAATTTAATAAAAAGTTCAAAGATTTTATAAGTTATTTTGAAGTTTTGTTCTTAAAAATTTTATATTTATTAATAGTTTCAAAGTCTTAACAAAAAATAACTTTCTCTTAGATTAATTTGACTCAACAATTAGTCAAGATAATTAAATATTAAAGAATGATTTATTGAATAACACAACTTTTTATGTATCTAATTTATAAAAACAATATATAAGAGAGTTACTACTTTTAATTAGACAATTTGTGAAAAGACCAATATCTAACTCAGTACAAATTTATAATACAAAAGTGGGTTTGTTATTCTTATTATTCGAAATTAACAAAATAATAAAATAATAAATAAATAAAAAGTATTTTGTTCATTATTCAATAACAATTTATATAATTTTTCTATTTTATTTCAATGCCTTTTAAAGATATTTCTAAATGTTGTAATTATTCTTTAGTTCTTAATAAGGATGAATATATTATTCTATTATTTCTTTATGAGTTGTTCATTTAATTCTTTGATATATTCATTGATTGGTGCTGACTATTTTTGCCATTGATTTATCATTTATATCATCATGCTTATTATTTATTGATAACAACTCTTGTTTGAAGCAACACCTATTTACCATTTCATTAATATGTAACTTATCTATCATTTTGTATATATAAAAGTTAAAATCTTCTCACTTCTCATTTATTATTTTCTTTATTCTTAATGAAGTTCAATGAATTTAATATAATATGAACAATGTTTTCATGTATTTATAGCTTCTTGTTTGTTTGAAAAGACATTAGATATAAAATAAATACCATTTCTTAATTGAATAATAACTTAAATAATATCAAATAAGAAAATATTCAGTCATAATGTTAATAGAATATAATAACTTTATGATAATTCATTAATTAGATGTAATAATAAAGAATATTTACATACCAAACAAAATACTTCAACTTTATTGATGAAAGAAATTAAATATATTAATTCACTTAACTACACTCATAAATAGAAAGTCATCAAACACAATATGATTTTAATTGAAATGTTAAAATATTACAAATATGTAATTTAAAAATACACAAAAACTTCAAACCAAACCAAGTCTCAATCTTTTATGTATAATAACAAAAAGTTAAATGTCTTAATTAAAGCAAGTTTGTTAAAGAAAACCACTTTTATTATTTATTAATTCCTTTTAAAGGAAAAAAATTATTATTTAAGTCAAAGTTAGTTTTACCGAAATAAATAAGAAAAATCAATCTTTCAAATGAAGTAAAACAAATATAAACAGTAACAAGAACTATTATATGTTCCAATAATAATATAGATTATTTTACAATACCTAAAAACAACAAAAATAAGACGTATAACTCATACATAGCCAGAAGAGAAAAGGGTTAGTTATGTTTTTTAAAGAGGTGCAATAATTAAATAAAAGATTTCTAATTTAATTTTTGAACTCAAAAAGGAAATTTAATCTAAATAAGTTTTTAAGTCATATAATTTTTTTATGAATAAAACTTTCACTTTTCAAAAATGAAAGAAACCCTAAGCTCGATCTTTAAAATTATAGGAAGAAAATGGAAAAACAAAAAATAAGTTCGCCAACACCAGAACAAAAAAAGAATTTAAGAAATGCTAATAGAAGAATTGAAAGAAGAGGATGTCAAGAGATGATTTTATTGTCTATGATTACCTGTTTTGGTTATAAAGTTCAATTTGTAAGACCAAAACATGGATGTAAAGCTCTTCCATATGTACAAGTCCAATCAATAAAAAGAAATAACGAAATTATATTTGAAAATGATGAAGAATTTGAAAAGAGATGTATTGATAAGAATGGAAAAAGAGACAAAGAGATATATACCTCTCTTTCAATGGAAGTGTTTATTGAGCTTGGAAATAAACTTGGTATTCAAACAAAAGGAGCACAAAGAAAACCGAAGCAAGTACGTCCAAAATTTACTAAAGTTACTGAAATACTTTGTTCTACTATTAGTATTAGAGATAAACAGATATTCTCAATTGGGCATGAAATTCTTGAAGGAATTGTTTCTTGTCTTAGAAAATCTGATTGTAATACTGTTTTTGGATTTGATGACTTTTTATCTTTGGTGCAACCTAAATGGGAAGAAGAAAGTAAACGCTTTATGAAAGAATTAAAAGCATTATCAGATAACCCAGTTGATATAAACGAAATTCAATCAAGTCTTTTTAAAACAGAAGAAATAAAAACACCTACTATAAATTATATAAAAGAAGAAGAGGTTATGAATTTTGATGATCCTAATATGGAAAATTGTCCTACTTCATACGAAACACCGTTTCAACCAGATCTGTTTCATCGATTTCAATCTATGGTTTCGCGTTCTATCTCTGAAGCTTCATTACTCAAAAATACTCAAATTTCAAGACCAACTAAAGAAACACCAAAAATTAATAACGGCACATCAGACAGTTTAACAGTCACTGATCCATTGCCATGTTGAAATAAATGATCTGTTTAACAAATATGCACATTTTACCTTCAGTGAATAAAAGAGTTCTATTAAGCTCATACTAGTTTCATGCTTGATAGCTTTTTTATCAATTTTAGAGTGGTTTTAAAGAAATAAAAGTTAAATGTCCAAGTTAATAGAAAAACTAGAAATGTAGTGTATATTTCGTCTTATTATATTATTGATAACATAACAATGTAATTAAGTCATTATTTTATTAAATAGTATGACTACTTTTTATTATTAAAAAAGTTTTAAAAATAATTAAACTTTAATCCAATAAATTTATTCTAAATTTATCTATGTTTCATATAATTATTATATTGAGTTTTTAAAAAGAAAGTTTATTAATAAATACAAGTTAGTATTTTTAAATACATATTTCTCATTTTGTATTACAAGAGTCAATAAAAAATTCTTATCATTATTTTTCATGGAGGGATTTTCTTTGTATTATTTAATATTAGTTTAATTTATGTTAAATAATCCTTGAACCACTATCTATTTAATTTCTTTTTCTGAAACATTAATATTTTTTAACGTTTTTTTTTTCATTAAACCAAAATAACATGATAAAATATTATCTAAAATAACATTACAGCCTCTCTTTGGTAGTTAAATGAGTTAGTACAAAATCTGAGTAATATTCAACAATAAAACCCCTAAAAATTTTATTTATTATGTGTCATTTTACAATTTTATTGGTTATTTTCTGTTATGAATTAAAAAATAGAGTGTTTGTTTTGTACTTTTATATAATTGTTTTGTTACTGAAACAGAACAGAAAAATGACTTATAAATTCCGAATAAACAAATCGGTATTTTTAAGAATTCTAAAAATACTTATCAACATAAAAACAATATAAAAACAATGATCATTGTTAAAGCCGATAAGAGATTTAAGTTATGAGAACACAATGTGGTAAATAGTATTTCGTTCATAAAAAAATATAAACATGCCTTAAAAACACTTTTCACCTTTAAGAATTGACCTAAAAGATAAAAAGATTATTATATTAAGTCTTTAAGCAAATTGACATTATAAAACTATTTTCATACAAGAAAACCACAGAGGCTAACACAATATTTTTTTTATTTTGAAATTTTTCAACAAGTTTTAAACTAAAGTCTTTTAAATAAATAATAATTTGATTAATTAAAATAAACAAAATTGATTTGAGAATAAAATTGATATCTTTCTGATTAAAATATTATTCATAGGATTATTGTTTTATTTCATTAAAAAGAGGTAATTTATAAATTCATTTAAAAAGTAAAAGAATTTGTCAATGGAGGTTAGATTTTAAAATTTTTTATATAAGTTATATAAAACACAAAATTAGTATTTGTTTTTTAAAAATGAAAAAAGGAAAGATAAAAATAAAACAAGTTGAAGTCAATAAAAAAACTATATGTAATGATATATTTAATAAATAATATAATAAAAATAGTAAAGAAATTAATTCCAATAGAAATAAGCTAAGGATTGGGAAAGAAAAATACCAAAAAAGAAACTGATAATTGACTATAAACTGAACTTATTTATTCCATGAATTTGTGTATTTTTAATATTGAAGTAAATGGGACGATGTGGAATGAAGATTACTTACCAACGAGAATAGGACATGTTAAAGAAGCGATAGAAATGATATTAAAAACAAATTATTTTTCTGGATATTCAATTGTGTTATCAGATAATAATTCAACGATGATTATTTCACCAACAAATCAAAGACAGCTAATTAACTGTATTGATAAATTAAAACCAAGTTATGATAAACCACATCCATTAAGATGTCTTCGTAAAAGTTTATTTATTACACAACAAAGACAATGGGATTCAGTTCATATAGTTTCATTTATATCTTCTGAACAAGCATTGTCTGATGCAGTGTTAAGAAGAAATGAATTATTACAATTAAAAAATTATCACGTAAACTTTGTACTATTTGGAGATGTATTACAAATTACAAGCCATACTAAGTCATTAATTTTTAGTCTTGTTAAACGCCAAGGAAGGAGTTGGAAAATTACTGAAGTAAATAGAAATAAACAAAATCCATATCAAAGATTACTGATGAGAATGTCAGAAGGAATAGCAATTGTTCCAAAACGTAGAATACATCAATTAATCCCATCAATTAAAACAGGACAACTTCCATCAGAATTTAAAGCAAGTAAATATATTTCATGTAAAATTATTAATTATTTTACAAATGATTCAGTACAAATGATTCCTGTTCCAATTGTATCAAAAGAAAAAATTATTTCAATTATTAGATGTGGAAAATGTGCTATTGAAAAAGAAAGATGTGTACCAACATCAATAATTGGTAAAATGTTTTTGATTGAATATTCACCAATATTATTTAAATTAGTATTTAGAGCTGATCTCGTTGTTGAATATATTACTATTTTTAATGGAGAAATTAAATATTCTATTATTGAAAAAAATGGAAGAGAATTTCTTCTTTTTGAAGGATATTGTGGAAACGAGAAATTTAGAAAGAATATGTATTGGATAATTGATCCTGCTCAACCATTTATAGATAAATTAGTTGAATGTATTGACCAAGAAGTACCTTCAAGTTATATGAAAATTATGGAAACTATTTGGACTGACCACAAGAAAGTATTAAGTAAGATGGAAGAGAAATATATGAATATGAAGAAAGAAAAAGAAATCGCAAATAAAGTTCCTGAAGGAACAAAGAATGATACAAAACGTGAGACTGATCTCACTGTTAGGAATGAAGCTGAAAAAAAATCAGAAGATAGCTATTAAGTATCATATCTCTTGTTTTTTTTTCTATTATTCATATATGTTTAATTTCTATTATGTTGCTTTATTCTAATTATGTTGTTTCATCATTTTAAAAATTATTATTTTATGTTAAATAATAATATTTAATAAAAAAACATCTAAAATTTAATTAAATTATTTATAGTTATTCAATCACATCTTTTATATATATTTTAAATATCTCTTCATCTAAATAAGATTCTTGGTTAATAATATTTCATTTTGATAATGGAATATTTAATATAATTGGAATACTAAAACATCTAAATGAACCACCAATATTTTTTTAATTAGTCTTTTGATATATTAGAATGTTGTGTTCTTTTTTGTTATCATTCAATTTTTCATTTGAACAAATACATTATACATTTCATTAATTTTATGTTATTCTATTTCTATAAATTTATATATTGGTTTAGTCTTATAAATAAAGGTTGTGGTTTTTTATTAAACTATTTAGATATTTTTTGTTTGCATTGTTTGTTCACATCTTGAGTCTGAATTAATTAAACAACTTGAACTTTTTATTTTATAATAATTATCACATTCTTTGAAAACATTTAAGATAATCAAAATAACAAATAGAATAGTCAAAAAATTCTTATTAGACTTGATATCTTATTGGTTAATGTAACTTGTTTAAATTTAACTTATTTTTGAATTTAGGTGATAGATTATAACTTAATACTTGAACTACTATTATTTTTGTACGATACACTCAAGCCAAATTAGTGTCTAATAAACATACAAAATTCAAAAAGAAAGAACTTAAGTGTAATTGAAGCAGAATTAAAGAACGAATTCTATATGTTCATGACGTTTAAAATATCTTCACAAAAAGAATTATCAAAATTTACAATTTCAACAAAGATAGTGTTAAATAGAAGAATATCCATAAAAAGAATTAAAAGTAATTCTATTTTCTAATTTATTAAATTATAAAAATTTTTTAAGTAATTCTGAAGATATAACTTAGGTGTGTTTAAAAAATTTTCAAATAAAATAAAAAACAGGTTGAATAATATACAATTTCAAATTAATTTAAAGAGTAATGTTTAGTGAGAAACAAAAATTAAAGATTTGAAATTTTTCTGTTGTAATATTATGTGAAAGACATAAGACAGTTAAATAACTTTTGAAGGTAACAATATGAAAAATCTTAAGTGATAATTTTAATTCATTTATAACATAAGAAGATTTTATAATATATAATAAAGAAGTAAATTAAAAAGTTAAAAAAAAATTAAACGTTATTATTAAAAACTAAAAAAGAATATATTAATAATGCAAGATGATAAATATTATATGAATGAAGCGTTAAAAATGGGTCAAGAAGCTTTAAATATAGGAGAAGTTCCTGTTGGTTGTGTTGTAATTAATTCAAAAGGTGAAATTGTTGCAAAAGGAAGAAATCATACAAAAGAGTTTCAAGACGTTTGTCTAAATTAGTCATTAATGGTATTGACTCCCCTCATTATTTATAGGGAACTCAACATGCTGAAATAGTTTGTATTAATCAATTAGTTGAAAAACATGTTCATTTAAGTGAATGTATTCTTTACGTAACATGTGAGCCATGTATTATGTGTGCTGAAGCATTAAAACAATGTGGAATTACAAAAATTATTTATGGATGTTCTAATGCTAGATTTGGTGGATGTGGATCTGTTATGACAATAATTAAATCAAGTCTCTATAAATCAAATCATGAAATAAATTATTGTTATCATTCATTAATGGAATTAGAAGGATTAGAGTTATTAAAATGTTTTTTCTCAATGGAGAATGAAAAAGCACCAGAACCAAATAAAAAGAGGAAAAAAGAAGAAAAATGAAAAAAAACAATTAAATTTATTCATAAAAGTTTTTGATAATTTTAATTTCAATACTTCTAAATAAAAGAAAAAGAAAGTAATAAAAAATAACATGAAAAAAATAACCATAAAATAACGTCTTTTTATTTTATATTTGTATTAAATTCTTTAAAAAAGGAGAACAAAACAAATAGCTTAACTGTGTTTCCAGAACATTGCAATAAGAATTCCAACTGCAGTAACAACAATTGAAGCTAATTCAATATAGAAACCATAATTTGGATTTGGTGAACTTTGAGCAAGCCACTCAGAAACGTTATGTGCAAAGAACAAGGCTAACCATAAAATCATTCCAACAATGTTTATAGCAAGAGAGATAAATGCGAATATCAATAAAATCCAAGTTCTTCTTCCTACATTTAATTTAATTTTCTTTAAGCATTTTTGACATGGACCAAATGCATGAAGAAGATAGAAGAGTGCACAAATAAATGAAAAAACTAATCCAATAATTAAAAATACCAGAGCACAAATACCTGATGATTTTAAATCTTTAAATTCAAATGTGTTTCCATATCCATAACGAAGGCGAGAACCGTTATCATCTTTACAATTATCTGTTGTCCATCCAAGTAAATAAAATGAATAATGTACGTTAGCTGTTTTAACATTGGCCATAGCCCATGGGAGTGGGAGAGAAACAATAGTTAATATCGCTCCAATAATTAAAAACACAGCAGCAAGAAAAGGTAGTATAACGAATTTGCTCATAATTTATGATTTCTAGTTCACAACTTAAACTTTTTTTAAACTGTTTTTTGTTATTAGAGTTTTACTTCTTTTTTACTATTAAAAGTGGATTAATTAATTCTCTTATTAGAAAAGTAAAGTTTCATTTAAAAAAGTTAATATTATATTGTGTTTTCTTTGTTTCATTCTAGGTTTTTTACTATTCTTATAGTTTTTTCCATCTCTTTTTAAAAACGTGAAGAAAGGAAAAAAATGTTTTTGACACGAAAAAAAAAATTCCACTCAACTTCCAGTTACCAGAACTTATTATTTTTTATGTTATTTTTTTATGTTATTTTTTATGTTATTTTTTTATGTTATACAAAACAAACTTAAAATTATAATTTAAAATGAGCTTATACCAAAGAAGACAAACAAATATTAGTAAATTATCAGAACAAGACTTAAAGTATAGTTGTAGATATGAAGACTCTTGGCACTATAAATATAAAGATAATAATGAAATTTATATTGGTGGTATTGCAAGTGAATTAAATGAAGGGGATATGATTATTGTTTTTTCACAATTTGGAGAAGTAATTGATATTAATATGCCATGGAATAATGAAAGGGATGAACATAAGGGGTTTTGTTTTCTTACATATAAAGACCCAAGAAGTTGTGTGTTAGCCATTGATAATTTTAATGGTATTGAATTAAATGGTAGAACATTAACGTTTGTTTTATAATAATAATATTATTGTTTTTCATATTTGCAATAAGAATTCATAAGAAAGGGTTGATCATTCTGAGTCAAAAGAACAAAAAAATATAGAACAAACGATTGGGAAGTTTATAATTCAAAAACCACATAATTAACAGTTTTATTCAATTATATTCATTATTTTTGGAAAACCAAGTTAAGACTATTATTCCAATCTATTAATTCTTTAAAAAGAGGATTAGATTTGAGTGATGCTGTAATATCATTAATTGTTAATTGAGTAATTTCTAAATTGACAATTGATTTCTTAACATTTATGGTAACAAGACCAATTGTTTGTAATTCTAATAAAATTTGATAATGATAATCTTTTAATGAATAAAATGACTGTTTAACATTTTGTAATGAATTAATATTTTTTGTATTTTTAAAGAGAAAATCACATAAGTCTGATACTAAAATAATTGGTGAGGAAGATATTTGTGAAAGTCGATTTAGTCCAATTAATACAATGTATTGGTATGGAGTTAAATTCCAAATTGGTTGAGGATATAATAATGTAAGAATTTTAAATGAAATGAAAGAAGTATCAGAATGAATTAATTTAAATTGATTTATTTGAAGTAAATGAATAGCAATATTTCGTATTGGATTAATAGTAATACATAATTGGAATAAATCATTAATATCTTTATCATTAAATATTGATTGAGTGAATGTATTCCAACACTCATTAGAACTGATTGAAGTTGTTTTTAAAAGAAATGATTTCATTTCTTTAGGAGAAGAAATACCTTTAAGTATAAGTGGATCTCTACCAAATGTAATTCTTGAAGAAATTTTTTTATCAGCGAAGATATCATCAGAAAGAGCAGTAAATATTACTGTTAAATGGTTATTGTCTAATAAAGTAAGAAATGCATCTGTAATTTCATAAAATAATTCAATATTATTTTTAAGGAGTTTAGAAGTATTTGTAATAATTAATACTATTCTAACAAAATCTATTTCTTTTATCCAATTAATAAATGAAGTAAATTGTATTGGCATATTTCTTAATTCTTCATTTAAAAATTGTTGTTGTTCAAGTTGAGACTTTATCAATACAAAAAAATCTTTTTGATGTTTTAAAATGGAAGAATCAATAGTAAGGTAATATAATTTGCAACTTCTCTTTTGTTTCCTTTCTTCTTTTGCTAGTTTTTGTTGTTTCTTTTCTTCTTTTACCCTACTTTCTTCATCAACAAAAAATATATCATCTTCATCCATTACAGTAATTGTACTTTTATTTATCATTGAACCATCACTTAACTTTTCTTTTTTTCTTATTTGTTCATTTTCTGTAAAGTCAGTATGAAGGATTTTAAAAACAATTTGTTCCCATTCATTTTCTTCATCTCCAAGAACAAATGAAATTATTCCAACTTCATTAATAATAAGTTCTTCAACTTGTCTTTTTATACTATTAAAACAATCCTCATTTATGAGAACATCAGTTTGCAACTCATGTATTTTCTTCAAAAGATCACCTTCATTCATTTGATCTACATTTCTTTCTTCAACTTTTTATTTTATTTTATTTTTTTGTTTTACATAACATAAAATTTTTAATAAAAATTAAGTTTCTAATTCATTTGTAGAAATCTCTTTTAGTTTCGTTTGAAAGAAAAAAAAAACAGTTGAGGTATAGTAAAAGTACAATGAATAGTTTTATTAATTAGCAATTAAAATAAAAATAATATTTTAAATTAATATAATAAAAGAATCAAAAAAAGTTAATAAATTCAACGACCCAAACAAAAAATAAAAATATGAAACATAAACAAAATTTCTAATGATAAACTTTTCAGAATTTAGAAAATTCAATTATAAATTTAAATTAAAAATTAGAAAGAATTAAAAAAAATTATTCTTTAAACTATTCGAGTAAAGAGAGAAAAAAAAAAAAGAACAACAGAAATTTTTTACTTAAAAAAGAAAAAGAAATTAGCAAATGAGTGAAAATACATTGTTCATAGAAAGACAAACTTCTGTTATGACAGAAATGGTAAAAGGAGAAGAAATTCTTGTTGTGGTTAAACAATGCAATTTCGTATTAACAATAAGTTCAAATACAAGAGTGTTAGAAGGTGCAGAAATTTGTTGTGAATTACTTTATGACTCACCTGAATTAAAACCAGTTAGTTTTATAAATCAACCTCCAATAAAATATAAAGCACTTCAAGCAAGTGAACATTCATTGAATGTGGAATGTAAATTAAATGTATTATCAAGTCAACATGAAGACCATTTTTTTAGGGTCAAAGTTACTGTATTAATTGAAGGAAAAAATATTGGGGATGTTTTATCTTCACCTATACGTTCTATAAGTAAATTAGATCCTCATAAAAAAGAGTTAATTAAAAAGAAAAAATCTGAAGCTCGTATAGTCATTCATTCAACAGAAAAGAAACCTAAAGCCATTACTTATCTTGAAGAAAATAAAAATATTAAATCATTCACTCTAACTAATTTACTAACAATTCTCTCGCAAAATACTGCATTATTAGAACAAATAAAACAAAAACAATCAAATGAAGATGACCTTTCATCTTTAGAAAATGGATTTCTTTGTTTTATTGATCGTTATAATCAAAGTGGACGTAGAAAAAACTTAATTATTGATGCTATAGCAAGGCTAAACGATACTTCATTACAGGGATTAGATGAAATCTCAAATGTTGTTGGTTTGTATTTTCTTATTTCTTGTTTTAAGAATAGCCAGACTTATTTACTTAGAAGCAACACTTCCTGATGAAAGAAGAAGAACTTCTACTGAATATGATTATCCTTATTCTTTACGTAATACTCAACGAGATTATCCAATACCATCTTTTATTCCACCACCAGCAAAGCCATTTATTAATTATACTAATCCATTTCTACGATAGTTATTACCTTACAACTGAAAACAAATGTAATTTTAATTAAGCCATGTTCAGATGTTTATTGTCTATTTATAAAATTTTTAATTTATTAAAGTAATAACAATAAAACTGACTCAAGTCTATTTATTCTTTTGTTTTGGTTTCTATTTGTCGTTTTTTTTTTGTTTATTAAAGACAACTCTTTCTAAGTTAGATTATTATTATACCATTTTGGGTTGTTCATTCACAATTTCTTTTTTTATCACTATTAATTAAATCCAAATCCACTTGTTGAATTGAAATACTTATAATTATCATGTCAATAGTATTTTTCATACTTTATTAATGCAATAACAATTATTTATATTAATAAATCACTAAAATTGACTAAACCAAACTCATGAAAAAAATGTCAGAGTTATACTACTTTAAATATCTTTTAATAAAAGTGTCTGTAATTAAAATTCTGATAAGAGAGAAGAAAAAATTAATATTATTTTTTAAGAATTAATTCTTAGAAAAGACTTTTTTTATAACGAATTTGTATGATATTCTAATAAGAGATAAGAAGAAACAAATCTTTTAATAACAATATTTAAAATCTAAAATTGAATTATTAGTATTGAGTTTAGTGAGTTAATAAATTTTTCATAACAAAAGACGTGTCGTCATAATCTTAAAGAAATGTTATTACTCTTAAGTTAAAAATATTGTGTAAAAAAATTCACACAAGTTATTGTAATAACACACTAGATAATGACTTTAATACCGCTAAAGCTGAAACACGAATTTCAATATTTGATGATGTTATTGTTCCTATTGTTAATTGATAAATAGTTTTAATAATCATAGAGGAAAGACGTTGAGGATAGTAATCTTTATACATTTGAATTAAAATGCTAAATATATCGTCCATTACATAACATATTTCTCTAGATGATGAATCAATCATTTTATTATATCGTTCAAAACATTTGTTTAAAGAGATAATAAATTTGTTTAAAACAATATCTTCTATTGATTTATTTTCTAATAAACAAAGTACTGATTCATAAGCACAAATACTTTGTTTTAATCCAAAATAAAAGAATTGACAATTACCAATGACAATATCAATCAATTCAATTCTTTGGCTCAAATCAATTGATTCATCTCCACACCAATTAACAATAGTATTAAATAATGTTAAAGATTCTTTGTTACAAATAATACAATCAACTTCAATAATTTCATCTTTAGATATAGATAGTATGGGTTCAATATTAAATAGTATTTTAGCTATTATTACTTTTTCTTCATTTGAAACACTTTCAATTCTTTTTATGATATTAGAACGAATTTCACTTAAACATTGTTTTGGACCATACCCTACACTTATTTCATCAGTAAAATGAGTTGTAGTTAATTGAATAATTTGAAGAATACTATCATATATCTTTAATTTCCAATTCATTGCAATTTCAATTAATAATGGAAAACAATACCATTTACTGTCATTTATTCTATTATTTGTTGTTTTTAATTTTGATAATTCATTAATTAAATCAATGAATGACATTCTAATACTTTCTTTATCTTTTTCATTTAATGAACTAATAGATAATTTTTCTAATCCTGTAATAACAAGTTGTTGTACAGAACTCCATTTATTATCAACCAAATAATGATCATCTGGATAAACATTAATTAATTTGAATAAAATATTAATTGAATGTGATGTTCCTTCATTAAGTATTTGTGAAGCAAAGAGTTGAATAAGAGATGTATTAATTCCATTATTTAATATAACCATTTGAGTAATTTCATTTTCTATTAATAATACATTTTCTTTTATTGTAACTAATTGAGTAGTATGTTGTTTGATACAATGTAAATATTTTAATACTGTTTCAATAGTAATATATGTTGGTTTATAGAATGCTACATTTGCAAATACAATACATTCATTAAATATTTTTAATTTAAACTCTTCTTCAAATTTATTAAATGTTGGTATTAATCTTATTAATCCACTTAAAACAACAACAACAATTTCATTCCATTCTCTCATCATTGAATTTAAATATGAATTAATTTTAACGTTAGATTTCTTAAATTCAGGGACAACTTGTATATCTGCTATTCTACAGTATATTTCATTTCTTAGTTGTTCTAAAACTGGTAGTAAAATTTCATCAATTGCATTTGCCCATGCAATTGATGAAAGTGTAGTGCTTACATTCCCTAATGCACGTAATAATGTTTGAACCATTCCTCCCCAAATCACATATCTAGAATCATTTACTGTTTGTTTCATAACTCTAAGAATATTCAACATTAATACATCTTTTTCTGATAATCCATTATTCATCATTTGATCTCCAGTAACACTTTCAAGCATATCCCAAAGAAGCTGTATAGCAGACAATGAAACATTTATATCATTTTCTTGAATAGTAAATTGTCCAACTACATTAACAATATCCAAACATTCTTCCATTTTTAATGTTCCAATTTGACTGGCAATTTGTTTAACTACTCCAAAAGCATTTCCAACATTAATTTTCTCTTGGGCACATTTACCTAATGGTTCTAATAGTATATGCCATTTACCAACCATCTCATTTTCTATTGTTTCTATTACTGTTGATAATACGTCTAATGTATTTGACACACATTTTTTTGACTCAGAAAGAAGAAGTTGTCTTGTCAATTCTAATGCTGCAGTTGATCTACTCTTTCTTAATAAATCAATCATAAACGGTGGAATTAATGAAGCACATTCAGATTCTGACGCTGCAAATAATAAAACTATTTGAGTATTTTCTGGTAAAACTTCATCTAATTGAACACAATTTGATAATACAGCAAGGTATTCTCGAGAATAATACATTGATCCACTATTAACACATAACCCAGCAACATGGGAAAATGCAGATAATAATATTTTTAGGGAACTAACTGGTAGTTCTGGTGCTAATAAATGAGGAAGAGAAGAAAAATTGCTTGATTTATCTGGTAAATCAGAAAGGTTAGATACAGCATCTAATACTGGTAAAATGATTTGATATTCTTCTTCACCAAATTGATAAAGATTAGTTTCACAAATAGTATAAATAGTATTTAAACAATGATCGTTCAATGGTGATGGAACATAATTATGAAGAATTCCACAAAGTTTAGTAAGTGAAGTAAATAGAGCAACAATTGCTGTATGTTGGTGTTGGTGAAGAAGGATAGTTGTTACTGGAATACACATTGATATTACAGTTTCGTCTTGAAAAACAGAGAGTAAGAAGTGAACACATGGCCATAATACTGATATTAACTTATCATCATCTGGACTTGCCAAAGAAGTAATATCAGAAATTATAGAAGATAATATCGGATAATGTGGAGCTGATGTTCTTTCTAAAAATGCTCCAATAGCAGAAGTACAATCAACAAGTCTTTCTATTGTTGGAGAAGTACTAATACAAGTATCACATATTGTAAAAAATGATTGAACCTCCCATGGTTCCGATATAGGTTTTGGTAATATTGCCATAAAAGGAATTCTTACTGGATATTTTAATAATGGAATAATCAAAGAATGTGCCACAGATAATGTTTGAGTTCTATGACAAAAATGTTTTGAAAGAACTGAAATAAAATCTTTTAAAGAGTCAAGATACTCTTTAATCTATTAAGTTATTTCTGTTTAACAAAAACAAGTAAACAACAATAACAAACAACAAAAAAGGTAGAACATTCTACAATAATATATTTTATTAACTTGAGACACATCAATGGATCAAATCGACTAACTTCAAGGATATTTGGTGGTTGACCAAGAGATAATACTTGTAAGTCTTTAAATAGTCCTAATAAATCATTTGTCATTGTCCATTTTTGATTCATTTCAATGACACCTTTTTTTTTTGAATGAACTTCTGAAATTTCTTTCTTTGCTTTTTCAAATAAACTCTCAAGAATTAAAGGAAATGTAACTGAAGTTGATGCTTTAATCATTGGCGGTGCAATTTCATAGTATGTCATTAAAATACTAATTGCTGTCATTATATGATGACTTTCTATTATCGAAAGAATAGATGGAGTAGTAAGAATAGTAGAAATAACTTGAATATTTTTAGTGAATTGTTCTGGTTCAATTTCACAATAACTTACCATTTCAGAAAGAAGTGATTTATAACTTTCCTATATGAGTTAGTCATTTTCTTTGTAGTCAATGTTAAATAACAAACCTCTCCTAATAAATTTTGCATCATTAATTTTGATATACATCCCATAGCGTCTGAATATAATTTGTTGTTATGTGTAAGTAAACAATTAATAAGAGGACAAACAAAGAAATCTTGTTGTTCTTTAAAAACTATAAAATGAGCATAAAGAAAAACCAAGAAACAATTAATTTTTCTTTCATATGAAACAAACTATTAACAAATTCATTTGGTTTAATACTTTCAAGTTTTTGAATCACTGAATCAATCTCAGCTTTAAGGTCATTATACTTAGAACTCTTTTTTATATATGACTGAATAAATTTAAAATCAGTCAAAACGGTGTTTAAAGCTGACATATGAATGAATCTGGAAAATTTTAATTAAGTTCTTTTGAAAGAAAAATTGGAAGGTTGAAAAGATTATTCCTTTTAATTAATCTTGTTCATCATTAATATATTCACCATATCCTTCCTTTAATTTTTGTTGAACAGAACCCCATTCATCTTTCTTTACTTTCTTTTTTCTTTTATTTTTATCTAACTCAAATCTATCTAAATCAATAGACTCATGAATAACTTGTCCTGATTTATCATCTATCCGTGCAAACTCTCCTTTACCATATTGTGGATAACATTCTTCATAAAGGTCTTCATTACTTATAAACTCATTTCTTTTAGTTCTATACCCTTTAGATAATTCATTTAACTTTTGAAGAGAACTTGGGATGTGTGGTTTTTTATTCTCTTCTTCTTGTTTTACTACAGTAAATGCACTAAGAAATTCATCAACCTCTTTGTTTTGATTTATTTTTGTCGACTCATTTCCAATTTCATTAGTATCTATTCCAGTCCAAAATACATCTCGGTTGATAATTTCTTTTTTCTGTTTAGTTTGTTCTGTTGTGTCTGTTTCAGTTGTTGTATTTTCTTTGATATGAACGATTTCATCATCTTCTTCAGAGGAAAATATTTTATCCATTAAAACCTTTCAAGTTCTTTCTTCTTAAAAATATAAAAACTGATTAAGTAACAGACTTGTTAATTATAATATTCTTTAGTCCAAAATAATTGTCCACATGATGGATTTGATGTAAAGAAGAATTTTATAATATTTGTTTTAATCCCTTCGTCATATGGATTAGGAAGATTGAAATCTTTATTCTTTATATATTCGTATGTTGTATAATTCTTACAGATAGCCTGGGTATGAAAATACCATAACTTAGTAATGAAAAATGCAACACTAATAAACAAACAAAAAGAAAAATATAGCAATGGTGTTGTTATTATTCTATATTTTATAACATTACAATAAATAGAATACCCTGTTGTTATTGTTGCAATATAATCAGTGAACATTGTAATACATAAAAAAGTATAAAATATCTTCCTGTTGTTACTCCCTACACAATTTCCAATCCAACTACAATGATGATCAAACCTCTCAACACAACGATCACATTTACGACAATGATGTACCCTTAATGGTCGACTAAATTTACATTTATGACAAAATGTTCGTGGAAGATAAGTAACTTTATACTTCGCTGTGATGTCACTTCCAAATAAATTAACGTCATACATCTTAAACTTCTTATCTTGGTTTTGTTCAAAGTACTCTTCCCTTAAAGGAAAAAAACCTGGGTTTGTAGCATTTAATAAAACCATACAAATACATAACCAAGGCCAATTAATTGTTAATATAATTTTAAAAAAAGTTAAGTCATAATAATATGAATAATACACTGCTGTAGCCCCACAAACTACCATGACTGTCCATGATAGTAAGAACCATAATTGATTATTAATTTGAAACAAAAACGAAAGATACCACCGAGACAATGAAGAACTCATTAATTCTTTTAAAGTTAGCGAGATAAAGAAGCTAATACAAACACAATAAATAATAATGGAAAAGTCAATTAAAATGATAAAACTAATCAATTATCAGATTGTGCATGAATCAAATAAGCTAGTCCCTTTGCTAAAATTGCCTTTTTAGTTTCAAGGCTTTTATCGTTGATTTTATTTGTTTGTTTTATTTCTTCCAATTTTGGTATTTGACCAATTACATTTTCTTTAGTCACTTCTTGTTGAATTTCTGTTTGTAATCCTTCTTTAGTGTCTTTTACTTCTATACTTTTTGGTAATGTTTGACTTAATGATTTTTGTTGATTAATTGTTAAAGTATCTTTTCGAACTACAGAATCTCTGTCATCTTCTTTATTAGTACTAGAATAACCTTCTTCAACAGGAATAATAGCAGGTTGTGCAATTAATGGTTGAATATCCCCCTTTATTTCTACAGTTTTTTGTTGTTCTAATTCTTTTGATTCTTCTGAAGCAATTGTCGGAGTAGTAGATTTCAGATAAGTATCTGTGTGGTTTAAGTTTTCAATAATACCATTTAAATCTTTAATTTTTTCATCACGTTCCTTTATACCACGACTTAAGTTTTCATTAATATCACTTAATTTCTTGATTTTATCTTCACTTTCCTTTTTAAAATCGGAAAAGTCTGTTTTTGTTTGTTGCCAATATGCATGATACAATTTGGATTGATCCTCAAGTATTTTAAGATTTTTAAGATGATTATTTGATTGAATCTCTTGGAAACTCCTCATGTCTTCTATCTCTTTCTTAACATCACAAACAATTGTATTTTTGAAACTATCAGTTTTATCTTCTATTTGTTTCTTTAATTTATCAACTTCTTGTAGTGCCTGATCACGACCTGTTTTGAAATATTCAACGGCTACTCTACACTTTCCTAATAAAACTTTTTGTTTAATATACTTTGCTTTAATTTCTTCAGGAGTCATATCTTCTATTTTTTCATTTTCTTTTTCTGTTCTTCTTTGTTCTTTTTCATAACTTGTAACCTTTTTTCTTAGCCTTTCTATTTCAGCAACTTTTTCATCATTATTCATTAAAAGTATTTGTTTTCTATCTCTGATTCTCTCATCAAGCACTTTTATCATCTCTATATTTTCTTTAATGTCTTCAATGAATTCATTATATTGTATTAAAAAATTTGTTGGATCCATTGTCAAGAACAAATGATTAGAAGATACTCTTTCCAGATCTTAGTCTTAAAATAATAGTAAATTTTAACTATACATTTCTCACTTTTTTCAACAAAAAACCTAATTCAAATTTTTCATTGAAAGAGAAAAGAAAAGAGACAAAAAGATTTAGTTTTGATATTTTTTAAGATTTTTTTCTTTCTTAAAGTATTATTATCATCTCTTTACTTAAATATCAAAAGCATTCAATTATGAATTATTATTTATGTAAATACACAATAATCAATTAGTTATATTTGGTAATACAACTCTTGATAATTTTCGATACGTATTAGTTGTAAGATTTTTTTGGACAAATGTAACATAATCTATTGAATATTTTTGATGTTTTTTTCCTAAAGTCAGTTCAATAACTTCATCTCCACCAGCAACATATTTAATGTAGTTATCTTCGAGTATTTTTGATATATGACTACTACAAGGCTTACCACTATAGCACCACTGAATATTATCCCATTCAATTTCAACTCTAACTCTTCGGATACTTCTTGTAGTACCAGTTTGTTTATTAACTTGTTTTAAATTTTTAAAATCAATTTCATAGTCACCAACCGTTAATTGTTTTTTTTGTTGAACATTAGACAAACTTACAGTTCCAATATATATTTCATCAAGAAATTCTTGATAATGTTCTTCAAGTAATTTATTTTCTGCTCTTCTATAAGGGGTCCATCTTGAAGAAAAAAACACACCCTTAACTTCTTCCCATTCCCATTGATAGTAAACAGTAGGTTCTCTATATATTTTACTCATAAGGGAAGAAATGAAAGAGATTAAATGAACTGTAAGTTTTTATGATCTTTTTTTCTTTTGTAATACTAAAAAAAACTATAAAAAAATTATATTCTTTTAATCAATTGAAACTCATAAAGATTTCTTTATAATTCAATTAGTTCCTGTTTAATGTTTTGGAATACTATATTAAAACCAAACCAAAATATCACTTTTAAAACTAACAATATATTACATATTACTAATGCTGTTTGTTTTCTTTTGTTATTTACTAATTAATTTATTTCTTTAATTAACTCTTATAGTCCCTTGTTTCTAAAACAAAAACTGAACTTAAACAAAGAACTCAACTCTTCATCACTTCTGGAAAACATAAAGTTTTGATTGCATCGTTCATCCCTGGAATATGTGAACAAGTTAGGTTAGATCTTGTCATTGGTGAAGAAATAGTATTCAGTAACACTGGATTACATTATATTCACCTCTCCGGATTTACAACTGAACTTTCTAAACCTCAACTTGAAGGTCCAGAAGATGATGACTTACCAGAGTTGGACATAGTTCCACAAGTTGACTCTGAAAATACCAACGAAGAGTTAACACATAAAAAACCATTAAAAAAACCTAAAGAAGTAAAGAAAGAAGATAAAAAATTAAAAGTTTGTGTTAATTATTAAAAGTATTGATATAATTAAGTATTGACATAATATAGAAAGAGACAAAGAAATGAGATACACTGAATTGATTGTTTTCAATAACTTAATTTTACTTTCACTTCTTCTTCATCTGAAATAAAAAAATAATAATAAAAAAGAGAACTTAATCTTATTAATAATTAATGGAAAATTCTGATACTGTTAAACAAGTAGTAGACCAATTTGCTCAAACACCTGAAACAGAAGGGTTTGATATATTGTCTTGTTTATTATAAAATATACTAATTAACAGAATAATTTATTCAACTTATACATCTTCATGTTTACAAGGATTTAGAGAACAAGTTTTAACTGAAATAAAAGATGACCTTATGAAGCTACAAATTAAAAATGATATCACCTCAGAAAGTGTAGAAGCATTATTACAAAAATATTTAGATAGTTTGCTTTTTTATTTTATTATAATAGAAAACCATTAATGAAAAAAGAATTTCCCTTAGAATTATCACTTGGACTTTATTCAGAAATTATTAACTTTATAAAAAATAATTAAATCTAACTAAGAAATCTTATTAAAATTTACCATTTTCTGTATACACAGTAAAATGAACTCCTTGAACTTTGCGAAATGCTTTTTTAATTTCATTTGTTAACATAGATGATCCCCATCCAAGAACAAGAACATCTTTCATTCCAGTATATTTTGAAGCAATTGAACTGAAAGATGGTCTTCCTTCAATAAAACTAACAACATCAGTTAGACGTGGACATTCTTCTATTTCTCTTGTACAATAATTTTCTATAGTTCCAATTATTCTAGTCTTAGCAACAATAAGATCTTCTTGGAATGCAATGACAAGATCATTTGATCGTGTTACACAAATAACATCAACTTCATGAACTCCATCAATACAAAGAGCTTGTAAATGTCCAAGCATTGGAGCAAATCCAATTCCAGTACCAATTAATACTATTTTACGTGCATTACCAAGGGCGCATATAGGCCTTCCAACAGGATTTAAAACAAACATAGGAATCTTTTTTAATGTTTCTTCATTAGCCTCTTTTAATTTATTTGTCCACCCACCAAATGGAGCAACAACAATACAAATTTCTGAACAATGAGACCGTTTATTTGTTCTTTTTATTAATGGTTCTTCTTGAGTTACATGAGATTCTGAATTAGGTGATGAGATTGTAATTGGAACATTTTCTTGAGATAATAAAGGGTTATTGATGGAGTCTTTTTGATGTTCAGAAAGTTTTCTTTCCATAATTTGGGTAAAATTTGAACAAACAATAGAAAAAGGATGGAATGACCAAGGGGAAATTGTAGGAATAAGAACGTCCATAAATTGGGTTGAGTTGTAAAAAATATTCTTTTTGAATCGAAGGATGACATATCCAGTTTTAGTAACTTCCTTTGATATAATTTTAGCTGGAAAAACGAAATGTAGAAAACGTAATAGGATATCAAAGAGATATAATGAAAGTGGGATAAATAAATAATAATAATAGTTATGAGTAAAAGCCTTAACATGATAGATATAAGTTGGAATAATACAACAAAAGCAAATAATATGAATTTTATGAAATATATTATAAAATTTTCTTCTTATGAATAAAGTCAATACTAAAATAACAATAAAACCAAAACAAAGAATTCCATTTTTGTAGGAAGCTGAACTTAATTTTAGTCCACCTAATACACACCCAATAATATCACAACATGAATGAATAATAGCAAATATACCAAATAACCATCCACTAATTTTATGAAGCATTAATATATCTTGAAAAGTTGTTCCAAAAATACTAATCAGACTGATGTTATTCTTTGGTAACGGAAGTAAAAGGAGACAGAATAATATCGGGAGTGGTCTTCTAAAAACACTTCCTATTTTAAAAAAAATAGAACCTGTTTCACTTTTAATATTATCAAACCATGAAGGCATATCCTTAATACCATAAATCATTGAAAGAACAATGAAAATAAGTAAAGAAAATGTAAAGATATATTCACGTACATTAAACCATAAAAATCTATATAACGTATATTTATTAGAAAATATAGTAAATAAAGTAAAAGGAATTGATTTGACCTTCATAGGATATGTTTGAACAATTGGGTTAGTAACGTTGTCAACAGAGTCTCCTGTAATGAAACGAATCATGGACTGTGTGATAAAAATTAAGATCATTTACATTTATATTGAAAAAAGAATTAAAGTAGAATCAAAAAAAAAATTCCAAAAGAAAATACACTCATTCTTCAATTAAATTATTGTAATTTTTTTAAAACTTCAATATAATTTCAATAGAATAAAAATAAAAATCTAAAATAAAATCCTAAAATTTTAATAGTTCTTCTCTTTGATTTAATTAAAACTGAAATAATTCTTTTCCTTTTTGTAAAATAACTAATTCTTCATCATTTGGTGCCACACAAACTTGAACTTTACTTGAAGGCATTGTAAGAAATTCTATTTTTTTCCCCATTGACTTTTCATTTATAGAATCATCAAGTTCTATTCCAAGGAATTTCATTTTATCACAAATAGCTCTACGTACTTGCCAAACTTCTAATCCCATTTGATCAGTAAATACTAAAAGATCTAATCCTCCAATTTCTACCATTAACCCTCCAATAGTTTTAGCTAATTGTTTGATATAAACATCAAATGCTAATTGACATGTTTTAGCTTTTGGACCTCTAATTTCTATTTCATGTAAAATGTCTCTCATATCACTAGATAATTCACTAACACCAAGTAATCCACTTTTCTTATTTAAAATATCAACAACTTTCTCTATACCAACTTGTTGAATCATATCAATTGGTATAGTTGGATCAATATCACCACATCTGGTTGACATAACAAGACCTGCAAGAGTAGAATTTCCCATTGATGTATCAAATGATTTTCCATTAACAATGCCACAGCAACTAGAACCACCTGTTCCAAGGTGACAAGCAATAATTTTAGAATGGCTAACATCAATAACATTTTTTAATGAATTAATAACATATTCATAACTTAATCCATGAAAACCAAATTTAAGATATTGACTTTGATATGGTTGTGGAATGGCATATGTTCTTTCTGCTTGTGATATGGTTGAATGGAATGCAGTATCAATTGCAACATATTGTCTAGTTGTTGGAAGTTCTTTCATAGACATCTCAATAACACCAAAACTTGATGGGTTATGAATTGGAGCTAAAGGTAAACATTCTTTAAGTTCTTTTAATACAACCTCATCAATAATCGCTGATTTTTTAAAATACGATCCTCCATGTACAAATCTATGACCTACAAAAGCAATTGAAATATGATTTTCTTTTAAAAATTGAATAATAAGTTTAGCTGCTTGTGGATGATTTAATATTGGAGTTTCAATTTTAATTATTTTTCCATTTAAATGATGTTCAATAAATGGTTTTTCTGTTCCTGTAACATTTACCCTATTAGCTTTACCATTACATACAATGTTATCAGAACAAAATACTTTGTAAGTTAATGAAGAACTTCCTACGTTGAATATTAGTACGTTAGACATCAAAAGTAAATATAACTTCAATGAGTTATAATATTATTAAAAAAATAAATTAAAAATATTAAAACATAAATTATTTTTTTAAGTAATTATTTTTTAAATGTTATATATAACATATAATTAATATTATAAATATAATTATTAACAAAAAAATTATGAAACAATTAGAAAAAGAAAGAAATAGAGAAATCTCAAATGAACTATAAAAATAAAATTCAGTGAACAATGAAATTTGTCATCTTCTTTTTATGTATCATTGGTTTGGAATATTATTTAATTTTACATTTTATAAAGAGAATAATAATGATTAATAGTTGCAATGAGTAAATTCTGTGATAACAAACTTTTTAAAGATGCTGTTGAAAAAGCTAATCAATGTATGAAAACAAATTCACCATGTGAGTGTTTAAAAATTGAAAAAGATGATATTGTTAGTGCTTCATGTGCAACTGAGCCATTGAAAACATTTTTCAAAGATGGGTGTTTATCTCTTGGTTGTGAAGATCAAATTTGTTCTTTTAATTAATTGATTCTTTCCAAAATTAAATATTGTTTAAATAAATCTTTATCATTAATAAATTTAATTAATTTATTTCATTTGGTTATACAACCATTGATGAATTTGTTTGATTCGTTCAACATCAATTTTAACTACAGCACGGTCATAAGTAAGAAGTCCATTTACTTCGGTTTCAACATCTGTTAATTGTGTGTAAATAGCTCCTGCAAGTCCTTCAATTTGAACAAGCATCTTAATATATTCTTCATACGTATCTTCGATTTTATCACTTTGAATATATCCCCAATTAGATTCTATCCATGTATGTTGTGGAATACTTTTACCAATACCTCCATATTCTCCAACAACCCTAATTCTATCATCTAATACTCTCATTCTTGGTTTAGGATAACTGTGACAGTCACATATATCTCCTACATTCTTAAAATGATTTCCTCCACTAGCATCATTCACCAAACGTTGTTCATCTTTACTTAGTTCACATATCTCTTTAGTGTTAAATTGTCCCCAACTTTCATTAAATGGAATCCAACAACCAACACATGGAGAAAGTCCAACCCATTTTCTAATCTCATTCCATTCATTAATAAATCTTCTTTTAGACTCTATTGGAATCTCTTTTTCTTGCTCATTGAATTCATCCTCATTCCAATTTGAAGTATCAGCAACACGAGATGGCATATCTTGCCAAACAATAATTCCTATAGTGTCACAATGATAGTACCAACGAGCAGACTCTGTTTTAGCATGCTTTCTTAAAAGATTAATACCAGTACTCTTTGCAAATAATATGTCTGATTTTAAGGCTTCATCTGTTGGTGCAGTATAAAGTCCATCGGGCCAATATCCTTGATCAAGATAGCCAAAGACAAATATAGGTTTATTATTTAATTCAAAACAAGGAAATCCTTTATAATTTCCTTTTGAAAACTTTCTGTAACCAAAATATGTAAAGATACTATCACCACTATCTAATGACACTTTTACATCATATAACTCTGGTGTATCAGGAGTCCAATATTTCATATCTGATGGAAGTGAAATAATATTTTCTTTTCCTTTTAAATGTTGAGAAATAATGACATTATTATTTTTAATAATATCAATAGTAAATGAATCACTTTCACAACCTTTAAAATCAATAAGAACTTTCATTGACTGACAGTCAATATTTGGAATACATTGAATATAATCAATATATTGGTCGTGAACTGGTTCAACCCAAACAGTTTGCCAAATACCAGTGATTGGAGTATACCATATTCCATTGGCATGATTTACTTGTTTTCCTCGTGGTTGGTCATAACTATCTGTAGGATCCCATACTTTTACAATAAGTTCAAAGTCAGTTTCGTTTATTTCAACTTCAAATGGAGAATACCCTCCAATGTGTTTGAAAACTTCTTTTCTATTTACATATACAGTAGCTTCATAATCAACAGCACCAAAGTGAATTAGCTTTTTTCCTTTCCATTCCAAATGCACTTGTTTTTTATACCATAATAATTGTTTATCTGTAATATGTTTTGCTACTCCAGACAAACTAGACTCTAGTCCAAATGGCACAAGAATATTTTCATTAAACTCTTTAGGAAAGTCAACAGATTCTTTATTACCATCAATAATATCAGTTATTTGATATTTCCAAATCCCATTCAAATTAGTCCATTCTTTTCTTCTTAGTTGTGGCCTTGGGTATTCTTCTAAAACAGAATTAATATTAACAGAGTCTATCCATTTAGTTGTGATATGAGATTTAATAGGATTGTACATTTGAATATATCAATGGAAGTTATTTTTTTTAGATCTTAAAAAATAATATTGTTTAATATTTTTGTTTTTAAAATTATTAATAACATAATTATTAATAACAAAAAATTGTTTTTATTTCTGTCTCAATAATCCTATTTTTAATTACAATTATATTTTACATAAATTATATTATAATTAATAGTAAAACAATCAGAATTATAAAAAGAAATTATAAAAAATCATAGAAAAGGTACAAAATATGTAATTATAAATACATACTATTTTTAGTGGTCATCACTTATAACAAAACAAAACAACATGAGTTTTCTCAAAGATAACAAGATAAAACTCTTTTATGATTTCTAGAGTCATGTGCCTATATTGTATTATTCTTTCACTACTGAGAATTTAATTTTTTTTAATGGGTTAAAATAGCATAGTACTTATAAGAAATTGACCCATTTATAATAAAATAAAAAAGTGAAACAGACTTATTTTCTTTCTTAATTTTAGTACAATTAATAGTCTGAATCATGTATAAACCAGTTAAGTTCCTTGTTGGTGGTGTTGTTAAGTATTGGTTATGATCATCTCTTACAAAGAAAAGTTAAACCAAAAAAAAAATAAAAAGAAGAACTACTAAATTTAAATAAACTTTCTTTATGGAGAAGTTCAGCTACATTAAACAGTTTAAAGAGTTTAGTGAACGAAATGAATCTCCAGATAGAGCCAATTGTCAACCTCATTTCCAGCCTAATCACATAACTCGTCCAGAAATTTCTGTTGTAAGAAAGCGTGATACTGGTCCATTTCGTGGAGATGAAACAATAAGTTCTCCAAATACCCTTGTTAGTCAAATAAAAATAATTCCAAACCCACGACTTCAACCAATTACTGAAATGGCACATCCACAACCTCTTTTAACTAAAAACGTTCATTTGCCAATGGATATGTCATCTTTTAATACAGAAAATCAAAAAGAACATAATACAACAATAAAATATCATAATGATGATTCAGAAACACAAACAGATGAAAATATATTTCAAAATGACTCATCGTTCAGAACTTCATCAGAGTTTATTGAAAACAAATTTAATCAAAAAAATTATTTAAAATTTCATGGAGAAGGTAAAATTTATATTTGTGAAGGAGTTGTCAACAAACAAACGATATTACCAACTAAACTTGAAGCAGTCATTCCACTTATTTTTCATGAAGCTTCAGTAACAAAAAGTGTAGGTAATACGTTATTAATTCATTCTCCATTTTGGAAAGAGATAATTAAATGTACTATTACATTAACTCCCATTATTGCTGTTATACAAATGAGTAGTGATATAATTTGTAATTCTTGCATTGTTGTTGTTCCTAATTCAATTCGATATAATATTGTTTTTCAAACTCAAAACGGAGAAATTCCTTCTGTAAATTCTTTTATCGAATCTATTATTTCATCTCACGAACATATTTCTAATTCAATTTCATATTCATCTTTACCAACATTAACTCTCTCTACAATAGAACCTCAATTATTTAAAAAAATAATTCAATTCTTACCAAACAAAGATAAAAAATCATTGTCATTAACTTCTAAACGACTTCACATGATTCTTTCTTCATTAGTGACATCACCTTATAGTGCCTTTCTTCCAACTACATCATCAATTCAAATGGAAAAAGAAGAACAATATGCTCCATTACCTCAACCACAACGGATAGATGGACATACAAACTATGTTCGATCATTAGATATTTCTTCAGATTTTAGGTATTTTGTGAGTGGAGCAAGTGATAGAAAAGTACGATTATGGACTTTACCTAATCCATCAACTAAAACGTCTCAAGTATTCAGTGGACCAAATAGCAGTGTTGTGTCTTCTTCATTTATTGATGAAACATTAGCCGTTGCATATAAATGTGGAACTGTGAAATATATACCAATTGCTGAACCTGACAGACTGTTAACGTTCGATATTGTTGGTGGTAAAATAGAAGGTTTTCTTCCATTAACTGGAACAGCGTTTGTGTCGTGGGGAGACAAAGTTCAATTAATTAATTATCATCACCTTCATCAGGCAATTCTATTTACTTACAGTGAACATCTTAGGAAAGTGTGTTCAGTTAAACCCTTAGGTCCAAAATTTATTTCAACTTCATCAGACAGGTCAATTCATATTTGGGATCCTAATTTACCAATCCCAACTATAGAAAAGATTAGAAATGTTAGAACATTTAATGCATTAGAAATACTTGACGACCACACTTTTGCTACTGGAGGAGAGTCTATTGTTCATATTTGGGACGAACGTAAAGTAACTGACCCAGTTGAAGTATTAAACATCGACTCTAAAGTAAGTTGTTTAAATTATTCTAATGATAAACTATATATTGGAACTGACAAAACAGTTACAATTCGTAGTGGCACACATTGGGCTAATGAACAAAATTTGGTTGTAGATGATAAAAATGGAGTTTCAACAATTAAAGCGGTAGGAAATATAACAATAGCAGGCTTTAGGGATGGAGGAATAGATATGTGGAATTTCTCTATGTAATATAAAACAAATTTTATGTTATTTTGTGTTATTATAAAAAAATGTTAGAATAAAATAAAAAAGTAATCATCATCTAAAAAATAAGTACGAAAGAAAAAGAAAGTTCAATAGAAAAATCTTAGAACTAATATCTTAGAAAAAAGAAAATGTCAGGTAAAATTTATTACGGATGTATTGGATACAGAAAAACAATCCTCTCTATGTTCAGTGACATTTCTCTTGGTACCCTTAACGCTGCTATTGATGCTGTTGTAAATCAAGTTGGTCCTAATTCATCTCCAAAATCATCATCAAAATATGATCGTTTTCAACTTCAATTAGTTGTAGACAAAGAAATATTTGCATTATGTGTTTGTGATGATACATTCCCAATGAGAGAATCATTTGTTTTCTTAGAGGCAATAAAAAAGGCTTTTATGAGTCAATTTGACCAATACAGTATTTCTATTGCTGGAACAATGGAAATGTCCTCTTTCAATCAAACAATTAAAAACTTAATAGATAAACACAATGACTTCGATAATCATCAATTTAATAAAATTAAAAGAGAACAAGATGAAACACAAGCTATTCTTAATAATGATATAGATAAAATGTTAAAACGTGGTGATGTTTTAAGTGATTTAGAAGATGAAACAAGTCATCTTGTTGAATCTGCAGATGGATTTAAGTCATCAGCAACTCGATTAAAACGTGCTATGTGGTGGAAAAATATTAAATTATACCTCATTGCAGGTGCAATTTTATTAATTTTCTTATTAGTTCTACTTTGGGCAGGGTGTGGAATAACGTTTAGTCGATGTATTCCAGACAGGGAAGACAATACAGGAAGCAATTAAGATAAACTATCAATTGAGTTATTTTATAATTATCTTATTTAGTTTTTTTTTGATGAGAATTTATACATTTTGTTTTAATATCTTTTTTATTTTCATATTGTTTTGTCGTTCTTTCGAACTTAAAAATATTTTTATTTTATTGGTTACATGTCTCTTCAACCTCTTGTAGAAGAACTCCAACAATTATTCCCTTTTGTTGACCCTGACATTATTAAAACTGCTTTGATAGATTGTAATTATGATAAAAATGCTTGTGCTGAATTACTGTTTATGGCACAAGAAAATGGATCAACTGAAGTTCCTACATTTATTGATCCAACTGTTGACCATCATCAAGACGTCACGTTAGTTTACAAAGACTCTGTTATAACAATAAATCGGGATCAAATGATTGGTGACTCTAATCCAACAAACAAACCTCGAGTTAACACATTAAATGAAGAGTATAAAAAAGCTGCTGCCGAAGATGAAGAAGCAGCAGAAAAAGGAATTATTCCGTCAACTGTTATGATTGATACTGAAGAAAAAGCTTATGAAAAAAAACAACGTAAACACAAACATCAAGGTAAAGGAAAAGAGAAATACTCACTTCTTGATTCAGAAGTTAGAGATGGTTTGTTTTTTATTTTTTAAGGAAATTAACATATATAGAATTTATAACTCATTGAGTAGATGGTGATTTTTAATACCTCAACCACCTTTCCCACTACTGGAACAAATAATAAAATAATTCATACTTTTATTCTTTACACTTTTTTATTTTATACGAATGAAACAAGAACAAATATCACCTTCATTCAAATTTATTCAATTTTAATATTTTAAAACCCACCAACTTGATTCATCATAGCATCAATGACATCTCCATCTTGTAAACCAAGATCTGAAGCAGTTTTATCTGGTGTAATTCTTACACCATCAGAAAGAAATCTAACACTTGACATGTTTAATCCTTGTTTATTACAAAATGCTTCCATTAACTTCTTTAATGGAGTATTTTTCTTAATTTTGAAGAAGACTTCAGTTGAGTCTTGAGTCACTACTTTTAAATTAATCTGTTCATTATTAACAGGTTTTTCTGTTGTTTTAGTTGGTTCATCTTTTACTGGGTCTTTTGCTGGTTCTTTAGGAATATCTTTAGATGGTGAATGTTGTGCGTCAGACATTAATTTGTTCTTAAAGTTCCTTTTTTTATTTTTCTGATTTTAGAAACAATTATGAAACATCCTTTTAAATATATTTATTTTATTTTTAGATACATTTTTCTACTAATTCTTTCTTTTTACTATTTTAAACTAATTCTTTTCAAAACCCTCGCATAAAAAAATTAAAAACACATTTTTTTGATTGAAGTTTTTGAATAACAAAAAAAAGTAAATTAAGTAAAATTAATTGACAAGATTA